AAACTTGGATACTTGCAGGCCTTTTGCCCAGGTGAAGTTTGTTACACAAAGGTCTTAAAGGCTGGAGAGAGGGCTTGTGTGTGGGGGGTTTCCCAAAGGTCAGATGAGGCTCACAGCCTGAGAGGAAATTGTTAAAAAGATCGGAATGAATTGTAATAATAATAAAATCTGTGATCTGATTTAACAATAATTTTCATGTATGTGCTTATAGCTCAAATTTATAAAATGGCCAGGCTGCTGCTTTTGTTTATTTATACTTTCTGATGGAAAGAAAGCAACCACCAACCTCTGGCAAAGTGGTAAATTTGGAGGTGTTTAAAATAATTTTTATCCCGCTCCAGCAGCACAGCGTACATTTTTCATCTGTTGCCCTGTGCAAACACGTGTAGGTTCATTAGGTAAACCTCTCCCGAGGCTTTTGGAAATGAAAGCCTATAGGAGAGAGTCATGTTTTCTGCAGGATGTTTTTCAGTGTTGCTCTCCTTGCTGGTCCAGAGCCGCTGGTGTCTGTGCCTGCCATCCCTGTCCCTCCAAGCTGTGCTGGGCTTTTACCTTCCCTCCGTGCGTGCCCGTTGTTGCTGCCTGGCATCTCCCCACAGCCGATGCCGGCGTCCTGACCCCCTGTGCCATGGGGTGACCTCCTGGGGAGCAGGGGGACAGCTCTGCCCCATGCCCTGCCCCTGCTCCTGGCACAGGGGCACAGGGAGAGGGTTACCTCAGTGGTCTGGTTTAAGGCTCAGTTTAGAGAGAATTTGGGGAAAAAGCGAGAGGTAAAGATGGGCCATTAGAGGGCACTTTTGCAATCCTGGAGAAGGAAAACGGTGCTTATTATTTCACTTAGGACTGTTTATTTTGGCACTCTCTTAAATTCAGTGATAAACAGCAGGCAAATCCCTCCAGTCAGCAGGAATATATCAATAAAATATTGACTCAGAGTTTAAAAGAAAAGAAAACAAGGCAAACTTGTAGAAAAGGGAATAAAAGGCATTTAGGAGGTGGCATAGTCTGGAGAAAAAAAAAATACATAAATCACACGACATCTTTCATGTGGTTTGTATGGCTTTACAGGGCAGTGCTTGGGTCTCAGCTTGTTCCTGGCTTCAAAAACTGAAACCTGTTCAGAGCAGAGCACACCGAGACACCGAGACCAGAAAATGGGGTGTTGAAAGTTTCTGAGGGCTGGGTGGGAGAGCAGATTCCCATGCTCACATCTAGCACATGCATTTGTGACTCTGTCAAAGTCATTGCCCAGTGATGAACTTGCCCAGAAAGAAACATGGGACCAATGTTTATTTATGATTTTTTTTTTTTTTTTTTTTTTAATGGTGTCTAGCATTTTGGCAGGTATATTACCTACCTCATTAAGCCTCGGTTACTTTGGCTTTGCTTTCTTTTTTTTTTTTTTTTTGCTTTCCTCTTGATGTTTTATGTGAGTAAACTGTACAGGATTTAGCTTAAAACTCTGCCAGATTACAGTGAGTGCACTGCAAAACATAAAATCTGTTTATTAACTGGTGTGAAAGGGTGGTATAACACCGACAGCATGGTTTCCAAAAACTCTGAGTGAGTTTTGGATGCCTCTTTGCTGGTGAGGTGTCCCACTTTTGGAAGTGTTGTGCATGAAAATTCGGCCTATTTTAAGCTTCTGGGATTGGATACAGGAAAACAAAAGCACTAGAAATCCTATTTGCTTGTAAAGGAACAAAGATTATAAAACTTTTCTTTTTCAATAACAGTTGACAGCTTGCTGTTTCTTGTATGGGATGGGCTGGTGCTGCCCTGTGTCTTTTGCTATTTTGTCTATTTTTAAGCCAAAATGCTTTTACAATTAGATAAAGAAATCAGAGACAAATCTGTACCTTTTCACTACACCGTGGTTATTAACAGGGACAGAAATGCTGTCTACAGGAGTTTTTGAAGTGAATTAGCTAGTGAAATTATTTCAGAAGTGAAACTTCCCCTGTGTAGTCCTATAATCAAAAATTGTTTATTTTAGTAGAGGTTACATCGCACTGGAAGTGACTATGGGACAAGATTGCAATTTCAAGGGGTTCATGTGGAGGACGCTGTCTGCAGAAAGTGTCAGAGTTTCTTACCTAACCAAATAATCTGCTGTAACTGTTGTGATTAAACTGGAAAGAATTTCTTCCCTGTTGGCCAATGATAATACTTGAAAAATCAATAAACAGCGTGTTAGAGCACACAGAACTCATCCTGCTTTGTGTGAGAAGAGGTTTCTGCTGACTTCGGTGACTTAAGTCAGCAAGTATTTTGACTTAAAATCTTTGCTCCAAAAGGTCAAATGTCATTAACTTGGCTGATAAGTATCAACACTTCAGTCTGAATTTGAGGAAATATGGCTGTTGTCACCAAAGGGTCAGTCAGGACCTGGTTGGGATAAATTTTGACAAATGCTGGAAAAGCCAAACTGGGATTTAACTATAAGCAGCAATTGCGCGTCTTAGGTAAAGCTCTTTACTCCTTTCCCTTCTGTAGGGCAAACCACTGCAGCAACCTGTTATTAAAACATCCCAAACAATAACAAAGCCCACAATTCCAGACCTGTGTGCGCCGGAGACGAAGCGTTCCAAGCCCTGCAAAGGGGAAACCGCGGCCGTGTGTTGCTGTTGCCAGGTTATCGCTGAATAAATAAGGGCGCAGCCTTCTGCAACTGCAAAGCAGCTTTGGGCAGCCTTGGCACAGGCTTCCCCGCGGGACGGCGGGGCCAGCACCCGGCACGCTCGCCGCAGGGCTCCCCGCCACGCTTGCCACTGGCTTGTAGGGGCATGGGGCTCCTCCATGGTGTCCATGGCCACCTGGGACGTGACCACGGGGGAAACTCTGCCAGGTGAACCTCAAGCATTCTCTTTCATCTTTCCTTTGGTTTTCCACTCAGGAAGGGGAGGATCTGGCTGCAAATGTAGGACTGTGTGTCGGGCTGGGGAGGGAGAAAGCTCAGGATGGGGCAGCAGCCCTTGGTGTGAGGGAAGGCACAAGCGAAAGGAGGTGAAGGTAAAATTGCAGCCTGTTGAGGGAGTTTTCAATACACATCACCTGTGGCTTACGGTTACTTTGGGGTTTGCTACAGATTTTCTCTTTCCTCTTGCACCACCAGTTTCAGTGGGAAAATAGGGAGATGAAGGCCAGGGACTGAGCTGGATGGAGGTAGGGATGGCGGAGAGGAAGGGAGGGGAGAAGAGGGGGACCTGGGCTGTCAGTGGAAGGAGCAATTAAATAACAATCATGTTAGAGGCAGAGAAAGCCATACAAGGGTGAAAATAGCCCTCTGTGCGCATTGCTGGTGTCAGGAGACCTGTTGTCCACACATGGACAGCTGTGTTTAGCCGTACCATGAGCAGGATGGACTGCAGGACAAGCAGAGGCCGCAGAGCAGAAGAGGAGCTAGAGGCAGCAGGGAGGGGGAATTTGGGAAGATTTTGTCAGGAGATTGGGGGTGAAAAAGAGGACAAGACCCCGTGCTGCCGGCAGGGACGAGGCGATGATCAGAGGGGCAGAGGCTGGCAGGCTGCTGGCCACCTGCCTCCAGGAAGGGGCACGCAGGGATTTGGGGGCTGCCAGGGAGTGGGGCTTGCTGAAAGCTCCCAAAGGGCCAGAGGAGGTGGGCTGGGGCAAGGACGAGGGTCGCACTAGTCTCTGGTGGCTCCTTTGGGGTTTTTGGAAGGTAAAGCCATGGAGAGGGAAGGAGGCTGTGGGGGCTTCCCTCAAGGGCACCTGTATCTATTGTCATAAAGCGCTTGAAGGGGAAGAGCAATTTTATTATGGCTTCAACTACCACCCTGCCACTTCTCAAGAAGTTATTCCTTATGGTTGTTATTTTTACATAAAATATTAGGGAAAGGTCAAGTGGAGGGGAAAAAAACACCCCAATCTCAACAGCAGATTTGATGTTGAGGGTAAAGAGTTTGTCATAAAGCCAGTTAACTTCCAGTTACAAGGAGCCAAGTAACAAGAAGATAAAACTGTTCCTCCCCAAAACCAGTGGCTAACACCATTTAGGCATAAATCTCTTATTTTCCAATTAAAAAAAAATGTTACAATTTAGTGATTTAAACTCACTATACTTGTACCAGAAATGGGCTTTGTTTCCCCCCTGCCACCCCCCCATACCAGAGCCATTACATATGAGATCATCTACTGTACTGAAAGGAGATTTCCAGCCTGTCCCACTGTATATGTTAGGGTAGTCATTACTGACCTAGTTGTAGACATAATAATGAAAGGCTGAGATTATGAATTATTATGCCTAATTTGTAAGGGATTCTCTGCTTTTGTGTTTTGCAATTCCCGTCAGGCCTGAGGATTAAGCCCTGCTGAATTGCATGCTAATACCAATGTGCTTTGAATATGTGTGGGTTTATATCACATGTTTCCATAATTCTCTATTTTTATGAAGAACAATTTCACTGGAAATATTTACTTTTCAAAGGATTGTTAGAAGCCCAACCAGAGTCTCCTAAGGAAAGGGAAGTTGATGTACCCTCCATCTGCTCTGTGCTTACTCTAGCTGCCGTGTCCAGCGAGCTCTGTTTCTGCTATGGAAAAACATCAAACCGTAGCTCTACCAAAGCATGTGGAAGGCTTTTGCTCTTTGTTAATGAAGAGGGAGAGATACCAATTTGCAAGCAGTGTGTGGGCTTGCTTTCAATTACAGTTCAAGATGGAAGAATCTTATTTACATACTTTATCTACGCGTGTGACGATGCGAGCTTAGTCTTTACAATATGTATTCCTGGTGCTTGGACAGCAGTACGGTGAGAGTGCCTGTGATGTTGTTGTAGGTGTGCCTGCTTTTCAGCAGTAACTCAGCTCACAAGAGCCACACGAGTTTGCAGGCAGCCCAGGCGGTGACCATGGGCCACGAGTGAAATGGTGCCTGGCCACGGTCTCACCCACCAGCGTGGGACGAGCTCGTGGCAGCTCCTGCTGCACCGGGTTCAGCCTCCTCGGGTGGCACTGACTCCCTGTCGTCGTCGTTGCAGGATGCTGCTGCCCCACTGCCCGCTGCTGCTCCTGCTGCTGCTGCCGCTCGGCTCCAGGCCCCAGAAGCTGCCCACCAGAGATGAGGAGCTCTTCCAAATGCAGATCCGGGACAAAGCCTTTTTTCACGATTCGTCTGTCATCCCAGATGGAGCCGAAATCAGCAGCTACCTCTTCCGAGACACCCCTAAAAGGTATTTCTGCCCAGTTCAAGTCAGTAAGTTGTACTTTGAAGGTAGTAGCTTTATTTTCTGGGTGTTTTAAAATAAAAATTGGATCTAAACCAGTAAAATACAAATGCCAGTGTTCTGTCTGGTGAAGTAAGTAACTATGCGAGTTTCTATCCCAATCCGGCCTCCCTGGCTGAGGGTCTGTCCAATTTATCTGATTTCTGGGACAAGCCCAAGGCTCCCACAGACCGCAGAAGTTCCCTGAAGTGGGGCCACTAAACATGTCTAGAGGCAAAGGGAACGGGAAGGAAATTAGACACTACAGGCTTACCCCACCACACTTGTCTCGCTTCATTATTTCATATTGTGCTTTAAAGCAGCAGCGTGAGCCGGTCTGGTCTGAATTCCTCACTGTCCAACCTCCACTCTGTGGGTCAGAAAATACTGAGGTTAGGCTGGGGAAGAACCCGAGGCTCCAAAGAGTTCAGGGAAGGCGGGCATTGCCACCCTCCCCCTCAAATCACACACCTCCTTAAGCTGTCATTGGTGAGAAACAATTTTAAACATTTATTTTACAATAAATGACATGTAGTGCTTCAGGGAATGCAGGAGGACAGCTGAAGGGGTACATACATGCTTCTAGTGCCCTTACCTGGGCATAGCATAAAATGTGTGTCCTGCTTTGAGGATCGTATCCCTAAATTCCAGGAAAGATCCATTTTCCCTCATTTATACCTTTGGACCACTTATACTGCATATAGTTAGCGTAGGAGTAAAAAGGGAAGCTTGCTGGAGGGGAGGGCAGGAGGCCAGAAACCCCTCTGCCATGTCTGGACAAATAAAGTGTGAACTCTGCAGCACAGTGCTACTGGGGGGACTCCCCTCATCTCTTTAGCTCTTGCCCACCAGCCTTTCCGTATTCCCTCTATACATACTTGCCTGTAAGTAATGCTTTTGTCTCTGTTGCCACACCGCTTTTGTCTCTGCTGGTTGGCTGCCACCAGGATTTGTTGACATACGGATCTGTTAACCTTCCCCTAGGTATTTCTTTGTGGTTGAAGAGGACAACACTCCCTTAGCAGTGACAGTGACACCATGCGATGCCCCTCTGGAGTGGAAACTGAGTGTGCAAGAGCTTCCAGAGGAAGCCAGCGGAGAAGGTTCAGGTAACGACCAAACAATGACTTCAGAGACCTGCTTTTCCCCTGGATTTGAAGCTCCTCAGACCAGTCTTGGTGTGATGCTGAATTATCACACAGCCTATCTTTATGATATTTATGTTTGGCTCTTCAGCCCCAGTCTGGTTGTTGTGCAACAAACTGGCTGCAGGTAGCAACAGAGTAAACATAACTGCTGCTGAGGAGAGAAAATGTCTCTGGCTTCCAGAGCTAAATGTCACACGTTGAATTGTATACGCACCTTTGGCCCCCACTGTATTTAGGCAGAAAGTTTTAGTGTGACTCAGAGGGGCAGAGTGAAGGGTGCAAGCCCCAGGAACAGGCAGTTTCCCCTGGGGAGCTGTACGGCATCTCCAGGTTGGGTGCTTGAAGTAGTCCAGTGGAAGGGATTAGCTACCATTCTCCAGCCTCTGTTAATACTGGTCAGCTGCAATGTCTTTTGCATTTGGTTTTAACCTTAGTGCCAAACCAGTTTCTGTCTCTGATTTGACAGAAGTATCTTCCTCAGAAGATAAAACCTTCCTTTTTTGTCTCACTTTTGTATTTTATGTAGAAGTGTCTGTTAGTGTTTTATTTTCTCGTATTTGCAAATTGTGTCTGTACAAATGTTTTTCTTTGCTTATAATCTAGGTGAACCAGAACCTCTTGAGCAACAGAAACAGCAGATTACTAATGAGGAAGGCACAGAGCTGTTCTCTTACAAAGGCAATGATGTTGAGTACTTTGTGTCCTCTAGTTCCCCATCTGGTTTGTACCAACTAGATCTACTGTCAACAGAGAAAGATACGCATTTCAAAGTGTATGCAACCACTACTCCAGAATCGGACCAACCTTATCCTGAATTACCTTATGATCCCAGAATCGATGTCACTTCTCTGGGACGTACAACAGTGACACTGGCCTGGAAACCAAGTCCCACCGCCTCCCTACTGAAACAGCCAATTCAGTATTGCATAGTCATCAATAAAGAACACAATTTCAAAAGCCTCTGTGCTGTTGAAGCCAAGCTCAGTTCTGATGATGCCTTCATGATGGCTCCAAAACCAGGTCTGGATTTCAGTCCGTTTGACTTTGCCCATTTTGGCTTTCCCTCAGACAACAACTCCGGCAAAGAACGTGGATTCCTAAAGTCATCAAAGTTTGGGCGCCAAACATCCTCAAAGCCAAGAGTTGACCTGCACAAAGTTTGTGTTGGGAACAAGAACATCTTCACAGTGTCAGACCTGAAGCCCGATACGCAGTACTACTTTGACATGTTTGCAGTAAATACCAACACTAACATGAGCACCGCATACGTTGGCACCTTTGCCAGAACAAAGGAGGAGGCTAAACAGAAAACAGTCGAACTGAAGGATGGCAAAGTTACAGATGTATTCATCAAGAGAAAGGGAGCCAAATTTCTACGTTTTGCTCCCGTTTCATCTCACCAAAAAGTCACCTTCTCCATTCATTCCTGCCTGGATGCTGTTCAGATCCAAGTTAGAAGAGATGGAAAACTTCTCTTGTCTCAAAACGTGGAGGGTGTGCGGCAGTTCCAGCTTCGGGGAAAAGCAAAAGCTAAATACCTAATTAGGCTGAAAGGAAGCAAAAAAGGTGCTTCTATGCTGAAGATCCTGGCTACAACAAGGCCGAACAAGCAGTCGTTTCCTTCTCTTCCTGAAGATACGCGAATCAAAGCCTTTGACAAACTCCGCACGTGTTCGTCGGTCACGGTGGCGTGGCTAGGCACGCAGGAGAGAAACAAATTCTGCATCTACAAAAGGGAAGTGGATGACAACTACAACGAAGAGCAGAAGAAAAGAGAGCAGAACCAGTGCTTGGGTCCAGATACGAGGAAGAAATCGGAAAAGGTTCTCTGTAAATACTTCCACAGCCAGAACATCCAGAAAGCAGTGACCACAGAGACAATCAGAGGCCTGCAGCCTGGCAAGTCCTACCTGCTGGACGTTTACGTGATAGGGCACGGTGGGCACTCTGTGAAATATCAGAGCAAATTGGTGAAAACAAGGAAGTTTTGTTAGTGCCCCTGTACGTGGAAATATATGGAACTCCGCTCTGAACATTATCCTACTTCCAAGTATATGGATTGACTACTTGCACAGCTGAGAAGTTGTGACCTGTATTTGTACTGTGTAGAAAAGATATCAACTTGTATATTTATGTTTACATAAGTAATTGTTTGGAGGAACTGAGGCTGGTGCTCTCCCGTAGCATCTGGCAACGGTATTACCATGTGTCCGGTGACCCACATGTGATGCTCAGTAGATGTCCAAGGTAGCAGCAGGAAACCTCGAAGGAACTGGCACTCCTTTGCTTCCATATTGCATGAACTGCTTCTAAATTATTTTATACTTAAAAGGCTGAGATACATCATTCGTCCACCTTGTTATTCACACACAAAACTCACAGACACCCACCCTTTCTCTCAGTGTAGATGCTAGGGCTTCTGTAAATTATTTTATAGAGTCTTGTTTTAAATGTTTATGTTTCTATGATTGTAAACTATTAAAATCTCTCCCCAATAAAATACAGATCTAAACTAAGTATTAACTGGGCTGCACACGAAGCAGTTTCATTGCTAATGTAAATTCTTACCTAGCTGATTTTCATGTTTAAATACTGTATGTATTTCATGTACAAAGTTGCCATAACGTTATATTCCTGTACATAAAATTAAAAATATTAGATTATATATTGTTTCTTTTTTCTTGACATTCTGAGGGGATTCTTCACAGACTTGGGGACAGAAGAGGCATTTTGAAACTTGGACTGAATTCAGCTAGCACATGCCTCTCTTCTGTTGTTCTTTCAGGGCAAGGTGACCAAAGTGCAGTAGAACTATTGATGCTACCGAGTCAGTTGAAACCTGCAAGGGAGCGCAGGCCGTTGGAGGGTTTGTGGCATACTCTGGGTCTGCAGAGATACAAGTACCAGAGGAGCAGGGCAGCACAGAGGAGCTTCACTTGTCCCAGGTGAAAATGGATCCTGTTTCCCCATGGTTGTTGCGAGTGCTGCCAGGAGGAGCTCGCAGCCCGAGTTAGAGAGACCATACAATTCAAACAAATAACACCCCAGAGAACCAGTTGTTATTTTTCTTAGTTTATCATTGAAAACATTTGCTTTCTGGATGCTGCTGGTTTTGACCAAAGTAAGCAGCGAGGATTTTTTTTTTTCCTTTAACAAGAATGGTAATGCTAAGAAAAAAACCATGTACTTTCATTTAAATTGCAAATATTTCCATTGTGTAGATTTCTTTAAAATATTACATGTCTGGATCTCATCTTTGCTAAATTTTCTTATTTGTTTTTCCTTATGTCACCTTCACTGACTCAAAAACTTGTATAGAGCTGCCTAATGGAAAACACACTTCTGAGAAGCAACTGGCCCAGCTCCATTTCAAGCAGCTGAGAGCAGGACACGGAGTGCCTCAGTCCCAATAGTCAGGGCTTCAGGACAGGTAACGGAGACCTTTTTTTCTTGGTCCCATCAGCACTCAGGCAGTGGATGTCAGGGCTTATTCAAAGACAGCCTCTGTCTGTCTTCTTGGAGAATAAACCTTATAAAGAGTGATTGAAGGAGCCGGGGCTGTTTAGTTTGAGGAAGAGGAGACTGAGGGGCGACCCTACTTGAAAGAACATTGTAGAGAGGTTGGTGCTGGTCTCTTCTCCCAGGTAATTAGTGATAGAACAAGAGGGAATGGCTTCAAGCTGCAAAAGGGTAGGTTTAGACTATAGACATTAGGAAACAATTCTTCACAGAAGGAGTGGTCAGACAGTGGAACAGGCTGCCCAGGGAGGTGGTTGAGTCACCATCCCTGAATGTGTTTAAGAGTCGTTTAGATGTGGTGCTGGGGGATATGGTGTAGGGGAGAACTTTGTAGTGTAGGGTTGATGGTTGGACTCGATGATCCCAAGGGTCTTTTCCAACCTGAATGATTCTATGATTCTTCCTTAAGTGCCTGGCCACAAAATGTCTCACTGCTGTGACTTTAGCACTTTGCAGCCCCCCTTGGGGCTCCGAGGATGAGGGAAAGGGACTAAAATCCACATAAAGACCGAAAGCAGGTTCCTCTTAGGCTGCTCATGGGAGAGATGAGAACTCTCCATGCGTGGAAAGGTAAGCTCCAGTGTTCCTCTAGTCCTGAGCTCTTCAGGTTTTCCTCTCTGCTGCTCCCAGCATGTTTCAGTTTGCAGACTGGTGGGCAGCAGCGGGTTTTGTGGCTGTGCAAGCTCCCATGCTGAGTCTGCTGTGATGATTCTCCAAGAAAGAAGCACGTACTGCATGAAGGCTGATCAGAAGACACCTGCTGTGTTTAATGTAATTATATAATAAACCTAATAATTGAAATTTAGATTTCTCCGGAGATTATCTCCTCTCCTCATTTGCAAACATCCCTCTGATTTCTTAAAGCGAATGACTTCAGTAACACACGCCTGCTAGATTACTGTGCCAGGGCACAGGTGACCAGTAAATGACTGCAGCTGGGAACCCCTCAAGAACGAGACCGCAGCACCAGTGGTGGATCACTGGTTGCCAGAGATACTGTCCAAAAAGCTACTGAATCTTTCAGTTAAAGGCAGCGCTTGCATTTTTTAAGCACTTCTCTGTTTGCTGCTGCCATTTTTGTGTGGAATGGTACCCCTTCCGGTGGCGTATTACGATGTTTACTTGAAAACATGTTTCATCACCATTCCAGCTCTGTTTGGTTCCTTTAGCCAGATTCCTCTGTTTGAATATTCATCCAGCTCACTTGGCTTTTCTGCCTGCTAATCACTTCTGTTTGCAGTATGTCACAAAATGAAAAAAATCCTTAAGATGCATACATCTTCTATTTCTGAACACTGCATATTCAAAGAAAAATGCCACAATATTTGTCTTTATTCCCACTGGAATCTTATTTTGCCAAACAACTAGCTCTGTCTATTCTTCTGGATGAAGCTGGGACCATACTAGTATCATGTCTACTAATTATCCCATTGTTCAGGTCTTAATGGAGTCGAGTGTATCTGAGAGGCAGTTCTGGTTTTGAAGGATGGAGTAAAAATACAGACACTGGTCTTTATACAGTGCAAATGTAAGTCACTCTTAAGAAGGAGGTGACTGAAGTGGGTATTAAAGTAAAACAGGTATCATCTACTGGGAAAGCTCCAGACTGAGTGTCTGTGAAGCACAGAGCCCACGTAAGGAATCATACCGTGGGTGACCAAAGAGTTCTCCTCATGCATCTCTGCCAGTCAGCCTGGCCATGAATGCAGTTCAAACTATATGTGTCTTCATCCTCTGGCTTAACCTCATCACCAATTTACAGCTTTCTGTCCGCCAGGAAACAAACCAAACCTACAGACTCATTTCACATGGGCCACAGAACAACAGTAATTTTCAACTGCTGGCATACATGGGTCTGACTAGTCACGGATCTCGATCCTGTTATTAATCCACTGTCACACCTGTATCCCTAGTTTAACATCAAAACACATATCAAAAACATCTTAAAGAGTATAATAGATGGATACCCAGAACAAAAGATCAAAAATAGCCAGTATATTAAATACACAATAACATATAAAAGGTTTTTTTAAGCTAAAGGCTGGAGAGATAATTAAAATAGAAACATAAGCTTGAAAATAGAAGGTTAAATGGAGTTCAGCATCCATATCTATAATATGTGTCTCTGGGAAAAAATGCCATGCTGGGATATGCAGTTGAGGAACACGTAACCCTAAAGGAAAGCAGCATATGGTGGCCCACCCTGGTGGCAGCACCTCATTAGGGCGTATCTACTGCAGGACTGTGTAACAGAGAAGGAATCCTATACAGATTATTTTTTGTTGTTTGTTTCAAAAACAGTCATTGGGCCATTGCATACCACAGCAAGATAATCTTCAACACCTTCATCAAAGTGGAGCTTATCTAATGTTACTGATTTACTTACTGACAAATTTGGCAGCAGCCTTACAATGTAAGCTTCAAAGAGCCCAAAGGACAAAATGGTCCATGAGTTACAAGATTATGATGGTAGCAAAACTGCAGAATAAATCAATCAGTTATAGTCACACACATACAACTTCAGTTCAAGAACTCCACTTGTAATGTATGGGTCTCAGAGCCATATTTGTTTGGATTAGTGCTTTTAAAACTGGTAACATAAAATGGAGAAATAAAATCATTATTTGAAAAAGCAAATGTTTTTACCTTGGCACTTGGCAAAAAAATGTAATAGTTGTGGTTGCTCAGTCTCTTGAATATCTAGCTTTGGAGTTATCATGTTTGAATACATTCAGTTAAATGGAATGTGAAAATGCATGTTATCTAATTCAGTATATAAACAATGATGAGCAACTGTGTATCGGGAACCTTGAACTTTTCTTTCTCTCCCTCTCTCTGCTTGGGAACCTATTCATAAACCTTTGTGATAGCAGAGATCAGCCCTTAAGTTTTGTGGCAACACGCACATCTTTGGTCTGACTGACCACACAGAGATTGTCCCAGATCTGCACAGTGCGGCCAGTAATTTGGGTTCAAAGTACTACATCTATTAATTCAAATTACCCTGACTTCAGAGTTATTTAGAAGTAAAAACATGTTTCAATAAAGCATATCTATTACCTTTGGCTTATATTGAGTAGAGAACATGAGGCTGAAGGCTGGTGTACACTGTGAAAAGCTTTTACCAATAGATTAAAGACTGGAAGTCATGAAATGTTACTCATATCCTAGTAAGCTGTTGGTCTTTGACAGAGCCTTAGGAAAAGTCAGTATTCACCCACCCGTGTTTGGATCAATTAGAGAAGCCGCCTCTTCCAAATGGCACTCAATTTTATCTTGTCTTGTAAAAAATATACTGCTACTAATAAAACCAGCAACAAACCCTGTACTCATGAATGCAGTGTTTAGTTCCAAATGCCAATTGTCATGCACTTCTGCTGAATTGGCCAGCAAGTCCTCTCAGGTTTCAAGGCTGCTTTCAACAAGAACTTCAGGTCAAAGAGTTACTCCAGGGAGACCACCTTTTTGTGTCTCAGATAAAAGAATCCAACCCCACACTTTCAGCATGAATGTGTATTTTATCTTCTCGCTTTGCCAGCACCAGGAACATAATTCCTGTTTGAAAAGTGTGGCGTCTCCTCACAGTGTTTTTGTCTGCTTTAGAAGTGCAAGCTCATTTCTCAGAGAAGTCAAACAAACTCACTCTTGGCATAATGAGTGAAATTAGCAAATGAAGAAACTATGCTGGGAAGGGTTACTTTGCTGAAAGCACTACCTACTGGCTTTTGGTCCAGGGGACTATTCTCAAAGCAGCCTGTATGCCAATTTCCTCTGATTTGTGTATCAGCCTCATTAGTAGCTACCTGGTACAATTAATGTCAGTTGGGTCCCTGCCTTGTAACGGGATGCTCTGTGTCCACACAGGGACCTGCTGTGGCTGGAAGTCGGTTCAGGGGCAGGGGTTCCCCTAAGCAGATCTTATTTGAGGATTTGGGCTTTAAACTCTAGAGGCCCTCTAGAGAGTACAAAGACCGTGTGAATTGACAGCATTTGATAAATAATGTGTATAGACTAATTTACATTGTTTCTTTGGCCAAGAATGTATTTTACTATTTGGGAAAAAGAGGTTATTTGGCTTCTTTTTCCACCAATAGTAATCTATATTCTTCTTAACCACAAACTAATTGCTTATGATGGAAGAATAAG